TTCTTTTTCTTTCATTTCCCTTCTAACTGCAATGTATTATCCTCTTCATCTTGTTGATGCTTCAATCACTTGTGCTTCATTGCTCTTTTGTGAATATTTATGTACATCAAACTTTGCATCTACATTAATCCTTGTATTGCATGCATTCTTCTTTCTCTACCTTTTCTTTCCACTGTCCTCCCTTTTCTTTTTCTTTTTTTGGGATTGCAAACTTTGTTTTTCTTTTTACTGCAACAAAGTTTTTACAATGTATGATGGAGGCCAACACCATGGGGTTTAACCTTGAGTTCATACACAAAAGAATCAGTGCTTAACAAAGCACACTATACTTTTGTTAAAAAAAAAAAAGAAGCACACTATACATATAAAAAGAAGCCCAAATACTCAAAGAGTGCTGGATCATAGCTCAAAAAGTTGCTGGGATGGTTACGCTGATGTCTCGTGATCTAGTTTACCTCTCACCACATATGTCGAAAGGAGGTGCGAATACGCCTGCATAGATAGAAAATCTGCTAAAAAATGTACGCAACACGTCATGGACAGGTGGATGCACCTGAGACCTATTCATCCTGTTCTCTTCTTGAGTTATCCTTTTGGTTTTCGAGAAATTTATCAAAATATATGTAACTTTTCGACAATTTAACAGTTTGCACTTTTTCAACTATTCCAACAATGGCCATGTGTATTTTGATGGCTATTTTGAAATTAAATCAAAAGGTATAGGTAAAATGTTAAATAGTCGATCTCTGACGTGTATTCTAGATATAATTTGACTATATAATCAGCACGAACGGGTGCTATATCTCTCTATTCCAATGTCATCCGCTCATCTACTAGAACCTTCTCAGCTGTATTGTTACATAATTTGTCTTCATGGATTGTTCTATCTAGGAAATCATCATGTTTCGCATTCCTTGGAAAGGCATAACCTGGAACGACATTTTTCACTGTGCAGATGATTTGTCTCCCCCATATCTGGTAAGTTACATAGCTCTCTCTCGATTTGACAGTCCCGTACCCTTCTTACTTCCAGTTGTAGTTTCATCAGAGTTCAAGACAGGCATTGACTGAACAGACTGGGTACCATTGCTCCCATAAACTTCCACAACTGCATCATCTCAGGCTTCTTTTGTAGTTTGTGACAAACCATCTGTTGAGTATGATAGAAGGAACTATTTGGTAAATTCCTCCCTAGAATGTCTTACAAATGTGTCATCATCATCATTTTAGCCTTTTCTCAATTAATTGGGGTCGGCTGTCTTTCAAATGTGCGATCGACAAAATTCTTTTCCTCTTCATTTTCAAGGGTTTTTCAAATTCATTAACAACCACTATTGCTTCTATCAAATTCTGGAATCTAGTTCAACAATAACCTGCTCTGGATCATTAACAGCCAATAGACCTCAAACCAAGGCTTGTATACTCAAGTTCAAATTTGAAGAGCCATTCAACAATTCTTTTGACCTATTGAGTTGGATGGTATCTATGCCCCAATTTCTATTCTCAGATTTGCAATGAATAAAACTTGGTAATCTATTCAGATTTTTGCTCCAGCTCTCTCGTTAAATTGATGCTCCTATTGACTTACTATCAACAATTTCCAATTTTAGATATAGTCTTTACCATAACATGCATGTTCCCTTTATGCTTCAATGCTTGACAATCATGCAATACTGTGATTTTTGATTCGAGGTCGCACTCTCCCTTTCTGAACTGTACATCTTATATATGAGGAAGCAAATGCTCACATAAACCTATTCAAATGGATTTCCGAAAATGGATGCTTATTTTGATAAAAAGTTAGCTGTAATGCTTTGCATATGTTTTTAGTATCTTTATGTGGCCTATGCTATTGTCATATGATTGCTATACTCTAGTTCAAAATGGAAAAGGCGATGGTAAATGGCATTGGGCAATAATATTGGATGGGGTTATAGAAAATGAATACAATAAAAAAATACTCACAGAGGTCAGAATACATACTTAATAGAAATAAGGGTAATAATATGCTCTTTTGAAACTTGAGCAGAATTTTCTGATGGACTGCAGTATAGGTTAGAATGGCCGAACATGAAATATATCTAGTTTGCAGGATGCTCCAATCTAGAGCTTCTGTGTGAGAACTAATGTCAGAAATTTTCAAACCAAACTAATCCTAGTGCATTTTTAAATTTTTCTTGAACTGCTGTAGTAAACTTCTGCTACCAGTAATGTTGGCCAAACTTCAACTTTTGAAACGTCAGTAGGTCTTTTAAAGTGGTGCCCACTGGAATGTGAATCATTCTTCTTTATATGATATTTTATTAACATATGTTCTCACTTCTGGTATTTGTTTAGTGTTTTTTATGACATTTTACTTTTTGATTGGCTTTATGCCTGATTTAACACTTAATTGTCACCTGGTGTGCATTGGTGAGTAGAGGAGCATCTAGTCTCCCACAAAAAAGATTCCCTTTTTGGGTTGGATTTGAGGGGCTGAATTCTGAAGAGTTATGGATGAACTGGTCGACAAAAAAGTTTCCCTTTTTAGGTTTGGATTCGAGCGACTGGATTCTAGAGAGTTATGGATGAACCGGTTAAAATGAGGTTAACTCAGTGACAACAAAAGGTGGGGAGGGATCGAAGGGGTTAGGAGAGTGCTCCTAGATTGTTATCTGCTCAGACTATTGGTACATTCACATGGTTGAATTATTTATGGCAATATTTATTCTTGTATTTGTGGGGAGGAGAAACTCAACCTTGGCCAGTCCTGAGCTCAGATGAGAAAGGATAAGGGTTGTGTCAGGTTGGCAACTAATGTAAAACTTTTGTCACATCTCTATATAAATTAGCCAACCCCAACTACTTGGGATAAGGCTTAGATGATGATGATGATGGTGATAAAGTTTCTCTGTACATTATCTAATACTCACATCATTTTTTCAAGCCCTTTTTGAATTATGGATTTGCAACCTCATCGAAATAAGTGGTCGTTGAAGGTGAACTCAAATGTGAACGTTCCCTTCGGAATGGTAAGATTTGCATATTAATATTACCTTAAAATGCCTCACAGCATTTTGTCTTCATTAGATTTATGGTTTGCAAATAAGTTGTTGATGAAGGTGAATATCACATTCGAGATGGTATTATTTCAAGAAAGAAATTCAAATCCTCTTTCTATCCCCAACTAGAACCATGGATGGTTCCTTCCCCACTCAAAATATTGTGATTTGATGTGCGTGTGGGGGAGAGAGAGCGAGCGTTTTTGCTCTTCCAAGTGCATAGGCTACAAATATCCTATGGAATTGGTCATAACCAGAGACTCTCAACTCGAGTAGCTACCAGTGAAAAATTGAACCGGAACGATTAATTGGACATAGGGCTAGAAGCGGTTACTTAGTACTACCTGGTAAACCAACCGGTTCAATCAGACTAACCGAATAAGTCTCGGACGGTCAAAAAAGTGTCAAAAAAATTTTAAAAATACAAAAACAAAAAACTAATAAAATATAAAAAATATATTTAAAACATGATTAAACAAAGTACATCCAAATGAAGTTGAAAATTGATGAAAAAGATGGATTTTAAATAATCGATTTGTGCCCAAGGATATTTTTGAAATTTTCTTAAAAAATGGGAAAATGTAAAAATAAGTTTTAATGACCAAAACAATTTCCAATCTTTACGAAAATGATGAAAAAAATTAAAAAATTCATTACAAATAAAATCCCTTATTTTTTAGGATTTTAAATAATTTATTTTAAATTTACCCAAATCAACTGCAAACGGTGGCCAGTTCCAATCTAAGTGATTCCAATTTGAACCGCCTGATTTTTCCTACACTGGTCGCTACCTAACGCGATCCGTTTTAGAAGAGTCCTATTTGGTTGTTAACTTCAAACGTAAATCACACGTGCGCCCCCAAAAATCCTAAATTGAGCCTAATGCGAAATAAACATGCAACTTTTGCGAAGTAGTAGTTTCTTATTAAAGAATTCCTATAGTTGGGTTCAGAGCAAAATGGGTCCTCATACCCTAATTAAGTGCTCATCTCCAAAACTATTTCTCAATACTTGCTGCACTTTGGCCCCACGTTCATTTAAAGATTGTATTTCTCAGGATAACTCCCAATAGCATGAAAAAGTAGAAATAAAATAAAAATAACGATAAAGAAAAATATTTATACACCATTAAGCGCCGCAAATTGTAGAATTAAGGTGCACTTAAAAATACATAGAAAAAAGCTGTTTCAATATTGACATCCTGTCATCGAGATATTTGGATAGAGGAAAAAAAAAAGATTTTGAAGTCCCCAAAATAAATACAATTCATAATACACTACTATCTGAATCGCTCATTTTCAAGATTTTCATACGTTCATAGATTTGCTTGATTTGAACTTTGAACATTAAAATTTCATAATCAAAGACGACACGCTACGAGACAAGAAACCCTCACAGAAGCTTAAACCTACACCCTACTCCAAGCAAACGTGTGCAAAAGCCGGATTTATCTGTAAGTATCCCAATACTTCGTACATAACTGGCATCACGACATTGCTTTGGCATAAGGATGCATGAAAGTTACCTCATTTTTCACCAAGTATGTTCCTGGGAAAAACATAAGCTGAAAAGTGGCAATTTAATTTTCAACTCAACATTTGAGGGACGATTTTCCATTCTGACAATATAGATGAAAGGAAGAAGCTAATTGCTCCAAACCATACCAATTTGATAATCAAGTCAAACGATAAGCACTCATTCCCTCCAGGGATAACAAACACTTCCCATGGCCACTGAAATCTTTCATTTTAAAAGCTAAAATCTCATCACCAGATTAAAATAATTTACAATTGTCAGGTGCTAGAAAAGGGATAGGACACTACTAAGATATAGGTGTCATGACCAACCAGCTGATCTGGCTTGTGGCAATAAAGAAAACATGCGAAACCATCTGAAAACAAAACCAATTTCCAAGACAATTGAAAATAAAATAAATTTGAGCAAAGAGGAACAATTCGATAACAAATAAAAACCCAAAATTCTCTTGTCAACTTTCAATGAATAAAATCTTGTTTACATAACCAAAAAATAGGGGGAATGCTAGCAAATCCCCTGGCCTCCGCTCCCATATAATTTTACCAAAAACCCCACCACCACTAAATACACCTTGGGCTATCACTGATTAATATACACTCTATAGTATACTGACCAACTTCCCCTAGTTCAGTAAAACTGGACCAGGTTCATTGACAAACATCCCCGGAACCACCCTGCCCGGAAATGGGAAAATTGCTCTCTAACAAATTCAACTCACTCCGAGAAAGGGAGGGAGGGCCAACTCATAAAGGCCCAAATCTTCCCCCACCAGAAAAAAGAATAAAACCCACCGGATGCTTTCTGAGCACTAGGAGGGCATGATACCAATACCACAAGACAAGACAAAACCCTCGCCACGACAAGTGCAAAACGTGCACTTGTGGTTTATTACCAAAACCACAGAGCTCATTTCTTGTTCTCCTCCTTTATCTTGCTTCCTTTATTCATTCTTTTGGATAGAGAAAACAAGTGTTGTGCCAGATCTAAACCTAAGTTCATCAGGTAGACACTCAACTGCCTTGAACAGAAGCCAAACACTGGCCCAACATTACCAAATCAACAAATGGGGGAAGACTTGTAATCCATCCCTCAAGTACTAACATACATGCTGACACAATCGAGAGCATCGACTGACGTGCTAATTTTATGAGCATGCAGCTTTTTCGGCCTTCTCCTTCTCCATCTCTACTCTCCGCTCTTCTGCATGCTGAGCTACACCACTGGCAAGAGCTTGGTAGTGAAAGTCTAAGGACTGCATTAGATTCTGAAACCTCATAGGGTTGGATGCTGACATGGCTGGTTAACACATTAACAATTTTTTGTTATAAAGTGATATCCGCCATATAAATCAGGAAATATAAAAAAGAAAAGAAAAGAAAGGAGGAATCACTATACCAATATATTTACATTCAATTTTTTAAGGGACTGAGTACTCGTATTTGCATAAACAATTTTCTTTTCTTTTTTTGAAGGATTGCTTAAACAATTTTCTTGATAATCATAATATCATAAAGGTTGCCGTAGTAGAAATATAGCAGTACTAGTGGCAGTGATAAGAAGCATCACCAGTAGCAATAAGAACAAAAGTAAACTATAAGCACAAGAATTCAGTATGAGCAATGAGGCCCCAACAGATCAAATGAAGAACGAATGACAAGGATGGTACACATGATCACAAGACATCATGGATGTACACAAGGTCCATTGGCATCCAATTAATAGGTTGGACAATAAGAGCAGGACCCAAAAACAAGTCATGTCAAGGTGGGTCTCCATTTTTTATGCATCACAATCCAACCCATTGCTTGGATGGTTATGACCCTTATGACTGCAACTTTGATGTGTCATGTGGATCATAGTACAGGTTCCCATCAAGCAATAGATCTCTCCATCTGTGTGGGGAAGAGGGTAAGAGAGACAATGTTCTCAGAAAGGGAAAGAAAGTGGAACTCAGAGCCAGAGAATAAGCAGAGAATTAGGTAGTTAAAAGATGAGGTCAAATGGAAAGTGGCTATTTACTCATGCAAAATATACGAGGGGTGTAGATCGATGGTTGGAATTTGGGAGGTCAAAGGCTTGGAAGGAGGAGATTGATTCAGAAGGCCTTCCAATGGACACTTCCAATGAAATGCCTGTATCATTTGTTTTCTATAGAAGTCAATAGTTAATGGGTGCAGTTGGCATACGGATGCATCCGTAGGTGTAGAGGTAAGGTGCATCTTCAAATTTTATCATGGTCTATAATTTCGATGCAAAATGTTCTTAGGATTATCTAAAAATCTATTTTTATATCTAAATATAAAATTTTAAATTTCAAAAATGGCTAAAATCAAGTAGATCTATAAACATATGAAAATCTTGAAAATGGACGGTGTAGATAATATGTTGTAAAATGCACTA